TGGAATTAAATCGTGAACATTTTCGTGCGATTATTTTTTACAACTTTCGACGTGGATTAACTCAGCAACAGTGCATGGATGAACTTAATTCACTTTCTGGCGATGAAGCTTTATCAAGGACCAGTGTTTATCGATGGTATTGTGAATTCAATCGTGGTCGTAGTTCACTCCAAGACGAATTTCGCGAAGGTCGTCCAAAATCTGTTGTTCCGAAAACCATTGATGCTGTGCGTGAACTGATATTTCAAGATCGTCATGTGACCTATCGTGAGATTGAGACAACGTTAGGCATTAGTGGAACGAGCATACATTCAATATTGCATGAACATTTGACTGTCACACAATTTGTCAATCGCTCAAAAAAAGGCTCTTGTCGATTGGTCGAAAGAAATGGACAAAAAATACAATCACGGTGCGTCAAAACACATCCATGACATCGTGACAGGTGATGATTCGTGGATTTACGAGTCCGAAAGTAAACAGCGTCGACTATATGGGTGCTTGAAGATGAACAAAATCCAACAAAAGTTCGCACACGAAGCACTTCCAAACAAATGGTCGCCTGGTTTTTCGGAAAAACTGGACATGTCGCAACCGTACCACTAGAACAACGCAGAACAGTCAATTCTGAGTGGTACACAACGATTTGTTTGCCAGCTGTCTTCCAAGAAATCAGGAAAACCAACCGCCGAAAACGGATCACTCTTCACCACGACAATGCGAGCTCTCACACATCAGCTCAAACAACTGCATTTTTGAGCACCCAAAACATCGATTTGATGAGTCATCCGCAGTATAGTCCTGACTTGGCAACGAATGACTTATTTTTATTCCCGTACGTAAAAAACAAACTGAGAGGTCAACGTTTTTCGACACCTGAAGAAGCGGTTGCTGCATTCAGAATGCATGTATTGGAGATACCTCAATCAGAGTGGCAAAAATGCTTCGACAATTGGTTCAAACGCATGCAAAAGTGTATAGATCTTCATGGGGAATATTTTGAAAAACAATAAAGTGATTCTCGATGATTAATATTTGTTTTTGTTCTCTAATCCTGAAATCCTAAAAGGCAACCCTCATATTCATACGAAGTAAAATTCTATTCCTGTTGTCTCAGACCACCAAAGCACCATTACCACATTCTCGAATACTTTTTCTTTAATCTACCACAACTGCGAAAATATATACAATGGTTTTAGATATTTATATTTTTTCTAAAAAACTGAAGTTACTTTGTTGTTATTATTATTAATTGCTACAGATAATTCACTTAAGCACATACACAGAACAGGTTTCCTAAATTTAATGAGAGAATCTTATTAAACAAATGCATCAACAAAATAAAAATAATACCTTGATAGGAAGATACATGTCAATTTTTGATGACAGAGACTCATCCATAGTTGGGTCCAAAGTTGTGTCAAATAAAGGCGTTAAAACTGATCCTCTCTGCCCACAAAGGCGGCACAACTCCCTTCTCAGAGTTTCCAATTTGCGCTGTGTCGACGATAAGTCTTCCTGGTTATTGTTACGGTTTTGATAAGTTTTTGTATACCCTAGAAAGAAAAAAATAAATTACAGATATGAACAAATCATAAAGTAGTTTCTCTCTTCATAAAGGTGCACATTAAGGACATTGGAAATAATTTCAAATTTTCCTAACATGAAAGAGAATAATTATCCACCCTTAAAGGTTTGATTACACTAGCGAATCAAACAGAGCACACACTTTGTAAGCAAAATTACATGTTTTTTCCTGAACTGAAACCAAAATTTATCTAGGCAATTCTTTGGGGGTCAATAATCACTAGTAGTTCAATAAACAGGACAATTAACAGTGGTCCTACAGAATGATACTGACTTTCTTGTACAAGTTAGTTTCCTATTTCTTTCATTCTGGAACAGCTTTGAGCTTTTGAACAAACACGCTTCCACGCTTGTATCTATCAGCAACTAAATGGACCCGAGACTCTTGTGGTTCCTAACGCTTCACTGGGAAGTACACTAGGAAGATAATTTTTTCTGTTCTTAAAAAACACAAATCTTCCAATAAGGCATGTTTAATTTTTCTAAAATATGTGTAGTATTCGCTAAATTTAGCTTGAAACATCAACAGTTTTTAAATTTTGAACATTTTCTCCAACACAACTATATTTTTTTGAATTTTTTCTAGTACGTAGCAACTTTTGCTATTATGCCATAAACAAAGTGGTGCTCGTCTCATTTTAGGCGAACAAACTATTTTTGAAAATTGTAAAAAAAGTCAAAATTGGAAATTTGACTCTACCACGCTTTGTTTGTAGTGGGCAGATCGCAAAATGGCAACACGTCGGATTCAAATTCTTCTCAATGTTGCCGGTCGTAATGATCGTGTGAAGTAGTAGTTATTCTTATGAAAGGAAATAATGTAAGGAAGGTAATAGATTTAATTAGAACTAACGAATACTCATTTACTTTAAGAAGTTTCGATCGCTGATGTAGGAATTCAAAAATGTGTGGCTCACTTCGAAAAAATCCAAGTAAGCTTGTGTTGATAATGTTTCTGTATAATGTGCGGCAAATACTGCATCAGTTAAATGTATTCATGTTTGTTTCATTTGTAAAATTAAGAAATAACTACTGTTCCTGACTATCGAAATAAATGCAGATATGCACCATAAGCGCTTTATTTTAATTGGTAGAATTGAACTTTATTGTTTACAAAGTATCGATAAAGTATAGTAATATTAAGGGGGGGAAAAAACACGCAACAAAATAGTAGGCGGGCCCCAATAAAAAAAGTGGATAAATTGTGTCCGTATATTTAGTGAATTACTTCCTCTCATTCGCCGGCAAGAATAAGGCGTCATGAGATCAACAACTTCATAGAGAGGAAGATGCTCCGGAAATCGGACATCGTGGTGTCCACGGAAGCCACTTTCTCCGTTGCTAAAGAGGTTAGACTCAAATCTGCCCTGCTAATAAAAAGCCGAGAAGGGATCCACGTGGTCGGTGTGAGTGTCCACCACGAGGATGTGTTTAGCCTTCTGAAAGCAGGGGAGGAAAAGTGGTAAAATATCAACTAGTCATTCCCCTAGCAGCCCAACTTCATAGAGTGCCCAACGCCAGAATTCTGTCAGTGGTGTTTTGGGGCTATGCCAAAATTCATTCTTTTTCGACGTCTTCCTGCAACTAAAATTTTGAAGATACTTTTTCCTTAATGAAATCTGTTCCTTAATTACAGATGTTGAAATTAAATTGTGTAATTGATTTAATCGTGTAATGTTGTGCGAAATACAAGGAATTATTAAAAAAATTAACATTTTCCCCCCTAAAAAAACGCTCATATATTTGTCTTTAAAATTTCTCCTCAAATGTAATAAGGAACAGTAAGTAATATGTTGCTAGTCCCAATGACCACTTTTTTGACCATTCCCCCCCCTCCTCGAAAATTGCAAAACGATAACATTTTAAAATTACAAAAATTGAAGATATTTGCCTCCTACAAAGTCTGTTGTAAAAAATATGCTGGTTAGAAAATGTCATGTACAATTTTTTGTACAAAACTAGTAGTTTTCTCGTAATTTGCATCCGAAATTTATGCAACTTTAAAAAATTATTTTCTCAAAAACCTCAAAACTTTTTCTCTAATTCCCCCCTTCCCCCACTGATCAAATAAGGAACTCTTAAAAGAAAGCAGCGAGTCTCATTTTTGTTGAACTCTTGTAAAAACATAACATTTGAAAACCCCAAAATGAAAAATAATTTTTTTTGTCTTAAACAAAATGTGTTCTAAAAATCAGATCATTAAAAACTGTCAGGTATGTTTGCTTGAAAAAATAATACATTTTGCGAAATTTCTGTTTAAAATTAATGAAAGATGTACAGGTGTCCCACCAACTATGGGCTATGAGAAAAATCGTTGGAGAACATGAATAGATCAAAAGGACATGAAAAATAATTTAATTTTAATTACAATTTGCTATTGAAAATGCCAATATTAATCTGATTTTTACTATATTCTACAATTTGTATTCTCAATATTTCAATGCACTTTCTTTGAAACAATCCACAAACATTATTTGACATTGGCCCAATTAGGCTTTCTCTCTTAAAAATATGACTTAAATGTAAAATGAAAGAAAAATCATATATTTGTATTAACTTTTATTTAACTTTAACTTTATATTACCACCATATGCTGCCTTGGGCTACAATGGAAAAAAGGATATTTGAGAAGTTCATTGTTAATCAACAAGATAAGGGGCATATCATCCTCATAGTTACCATACCGTTACAAGCAATAGTGGTTACTAATGACCTAGAAGTTCAAGCGACCTTAAATAAAAAAAAAGATAAGGGGTATTATTTACTTCTGTGAATTCAGTCTCATTGTTGGGGTATAATTTAGTTGAATGAAATGCAGTTTTAATTGTCAAATTTTGTGTTATTTGCTTGAAAATATATAGTTTTTTTACTGAATGTTCAATAATTTGTAATGAGTTTTATAAACAATTATGACTGAGATGTGTTAATTCAAGAACGGGACCAGCCCCAATTTCTTTGCCTTTGTTGCTAGATATGAGGTAAAACTTTAAAGGAAAATCATGGAACCATTTTTGAGAAAATAATTGTTTAAAAATATATATGCTCCTGTGGCACCACTAATTTCTTCAAAATACTGATTTTCCTTTTCATCCCATCTCAAAAGAATGAAAAGTAGTGAATACAACATAATAATATTCATATTGAAAGATTTTTTTTTGTATACATTTTTCAAGTGAAAATAGCAAAAGAGTACAATTGTTCGCTAAGTGTCAGTATCAAATAAAGAACTTGTTCAATTTGAATGAAATTAACAAAAAACCATGGTTATTCGTTTAGTTTATGAACATCCCACGTGTCCATACTACATTCGGAATCATTACTATTGTTAATATTAATCTCAATAGATACAAAATTTAAGAACATAACATAAAAACTACAAATTAAAATGAGAGGAAATGAAAAAAATAACTTACCTGCAACATGCAAATCGCTAGGAACTGAAGTAGCAAAGTAATCATGATCAATTATTGCAGAATCTGAAAAAGAAAAAATAGAACTCGTAAATAAAAGCTGTTTGGAGATTATCAAGTTCTGTTCAAAAAAATTCCAATCTCCAATAATCACTGAATTCACATTCAAAATTGATAATGATAATAATTTGAAATGGGTAGAATATATATATAGAGAGGGAAAGAGAGAGAAAGAGGGAAAGAGAGAGAAAGAGGGAAAGAGAGGGAGAAGAAAAGAGAGAGGGGGAAAGAGAGGGAGAAAGAGAGAGGGAAAGAGAGGGGGGAGAAGGGAAAGAGAGGGGGGCGAGAGGGAAAAGAGAGAGAGGGGAAAGAGAGAGAACGGGAAGCCTTGCCTAGGAGGCATCTTTTTCTAAAACAACCATTTGAAAGTACTTATTGCAGCTTGGGCATTCAGAATAACCAGTTTGTTTGACAAAACATGCTTAAAAATGCTATTTTCGACATTTCCTCCCCGGACGCCTGTGCGCGCAGACACACATACACACACATGCATGAGCGCATGCTCACATGTAGGCATGCACCTAAACACGCACGCACGCACGCACACACACACGTTTCCACGGCAAAATGTGGAGAGAGACAAACATCACTCCTCATGCCGGTAGCGACTTCTGAAACCTTCGTGAGTGATTTCTGAAACACCGGTAGTGACTTCTGAAGCACTAGGATACCAGTGTCCCAAGAGAATTGGGGTGTGGTAGACACCTCTGCTGCAAAAGGTTTAAAGAAGCTTCAGGTAGAAGGGCAACAGGGAAGGAGTATTCTGTGTCTTCAGTTGGCATAGAGCGATAAGCCGACCTGCCTTTCCCGTGATGTAATGCCTGATGGCGGTACTGTGGGAAGGGAATCAGAGGAATGGGAGGGTTTTTTAATGGGTAAGGCACATGCTAGCTGTGAATCTCACACACTGCTGAGTGCTGGCCTCCACAGCGACTTTAGACGATTTTCCCCTACCCCTGTAAAACACACACACACATAAACACACAGACTATTTTTTGTGAGTTACTCTCTTCCTCACCAACAAATAATTTGAACTCTTCACTATCCTCATATGTGTCCGTAACAGGGGAATGCTCCTGTAGGTGTGGTGTATCTCGATCCTTTGGATATGGTGGATCTAAACAAAAGGGCCAAATTACACCACTGTTACATAATTAACACATGTATACTACATACACGCACACACCAACTATTTCTTGTAAATTAATATCATCCTCACCAACAAATAATTTAAATTCTTCACTATCCTCATGTGTGTCTGCAACAGGAGAATGCTCCTGTAGGCCTGGTGTATCTTGATCCTTTGGATAAAGTTGATCTGAACAAAAGAGCATATATTAGACCATTGTGAAACAATACACCACACAGAGAAGCATTTTCAAATATAGAATAAATAATTGTATATTATATATAATAATATAATAGTATAATATAAATATAGATAAAATCACACAAGTAACACAGTAAATAAGATTTAAAGTGATAACAATCCACTACATTTGGCATGTAGTAGCACAAATAAATGACAATAAATTACCATGTACTTTTATTTCATATCAAATCCTCATTAGGTAAGTATGATGTAACAGCTGCAATGTTTGTGTTTAATAGAACATTTCTCACCAGAAATTTGTAAATTAATATCTTCCTCACCACCAAATGGGTTGAATTCATTACTATCCTCACGTGTGTCTGCAAAAGGTGCATGTTGTTGGAATTCTGGTAGATCTTGATTTTGTGGATGAAGTGGATCTAAAACGTAAAAAAATGGAAACATTACACCACTATAAAACAATAAATCCCACAGAAAATGAAATAAAAAATAAATATAATAATAAAAATAATAATAATAATAATAATAATAATAATAACAAAAATAATATTTTTATTTTCCCAAGAATTTCATTGATAGTATACAACAGATGTTACAATTTACACAAAAAAATTAGAACAACAAAACCCATCACCATAAACACAACAAAATATGAAGAAAGAATACTAACTTTGCTTGACTACATTACATCTTGTTTACCCTTTTAGCGAAAATAGCGTTATCAAATTTATTTTATCAAGTACCCTCTCTCCATTTTATCCTTTTATCCCTCCCTCCAAACCCTAAGTACTTGTACTTGTCTGAGAGGGGTGTGTTACATTGTACTTTTGTTTGCTTGGTTTTTCTATACAGTGAATAATTAACAATTGTCATAATTACTAACTGACTAATTACAATCAAATTATTATTATTATAAAAAAAAATCAATAAAATTGAATGAGAGTAGGCAACAGTAAAATATGGGAGTTACACAACAACAGGAATATTATACATTATTGCAAATTAAAATATTTAATGACAGCAGTTAACAGTAAAAATGAAAGATGTAGTTGTACAGAATTAACAAAATAAAATCTTGTAAATGACAGTACTAAACAGGCAAAAATTAAAATTAAGATATACTTAATTAACATGTTCGAAATTAACAAATAAATTATAAATAAAACAAAATGGCAGTAAATAACAAGCTAAAGAGATAACTCTTGATTTTTCTCTATAATAACAACAATAATAATAATAATAATAATAATAATAATAATAATAACAACAATTATTATTATTATTATTATTATATTATTATAACACATTTGGTTAGTTGTGGTGGAGCTTGGGAAGTATCTCATGACTCTGACCTGCTAATGCCTGGCGGTATCTCCCGCATACTACTGGTAGGGCCTCCCTTGCCGGACAGGTCGAAGGAGAGAGACGAGACTAAAAAGTACTCCAGAAGTGGGAGCAGCGCCTATCTCTAAGAGCGGCAACTACCAACGTGAGAAGGCCAATGTTTCCAAGGGCGAAAGAAGACGCCAGAGTCCCACCGGCTTAGGAGATGAACGATCTGACACAAACTTCCTCTTAAGGGAAGGAGGGGTTCTTTGAGCAGGTGAAGCCAACCCTTGTAGGGGAGTCAACCCCAAAGAAATCCTGCAGGCCTAGGCGCAGCAAAGTGGCAGCCCCACTACTGGTTTAACGCTAGTGGTAGCATTAAAACGCTAGGGGAAGGAGACCCCGAAAAGAAACCCATGCTGGAAGGTCCCTCAGGATCAACTGTTATGGTGCAGGGGATCGGAGCCCCAGCACCGGCAGTGGGGGGTGGGCAAGCCAGCCCCGGTGGTCGTCATCCAATGACTCAAAGGACCACTGAGCGTCTGTGTTAGATAGTGCATCTAACCCCTTGGCTGGAAGGTGTGAAATGCAGAGATCTCCTCTGGACACCCCCGCAACACCTGGTGTAACTTCAGGTTCAAGTAGAGAACACATTATTATTACACACCCGGACTGAAATGGAATGCTGTGGACTGGACGCCAGAAAGATGGGAAGCTATCCAAAACCTGGTAAAGGAAAATTAATGATAGTAAGAAAAACTTTGGCCACAGCACAAAAAGATGTGGGAACGCTAAAGAACAGATGGCAGGACATAAATGAAGAGCAAGAGTGGGTGCATCATAAAGTACTCCTCGTGAGGAAGAGAGACGTACATGCCAAGAATACTAGCTACGGTAAGAAGAGGGATGGTGCTCTAAATGGATACGGCGCAAGAAGTAGCAGAAGAGAAGAGAGAGTTTCCAGAGATCCTACGCTCTCTGTCAAATATGAAAGAGAAAGTCATGGCAAGAGAAGAGAAATTAGATGCTATGTGAGCACAAAGGAAAGAGGGCGGTACCTAGTGCACCAGAGGAGTCACATCAAAGAAGTAAAAGGAAAAATAGCTAACAAACAGAGGAGTGTAAAACAAGTGAGAAATTCCAAAGCTATCAAGGCGACAGCTAGTGAAGGAGAAACATTCTCAGGCATAAAGAGGATGAAGAATGATGTGGATTCTGAAGTTTACTGTACGAAGATACTGCCTGCAAGGGCGCGAAAGGTGAATGTGCTCATTGTACTAGAAAAACTGGTAACACGCAACAAGCAAAAGTGAGTGCTCTTAGGCGGAAACACCTAGTTGAAATTAAGGATATTGTCGAAACTGTTACGATTGAAGAGGTAAGGAAGCGGTGAGCAAGACAACAGACGTAACGACAGGCCAGATCTCCGACTCTTGTAGGTTACATAGGGGATATGGAGGCATGCAAACAGCCACAATGCTACTGGGTGCAAAGGTAGCCCAAAAGCTCATAACTGCAGCAAAAATTAAAATCTGCTGGGTTAACTTTGGAATCAGAGAAAAGCAGCAGATATTAAGATGTTATAGATTTTTAGACTCAGGTCCCGATCGAAGTAAAACATGTTACAGATGTGGCAAAACCAGCCATGGTATCAAGAATTGTACTGGTAAACTGCAGTGTGTTATATGCAAGGAGGGAAACAAAGGCGATAATCATCTGCGTGGCGTGGGATTTGATGCTGCAGGTAGCTGCTGAAAGGATGCTGCTGGATGTGCTGCTCGTCAGCGAGCAAATTTACTGCGACATATGGTATCAGGATGCTACTGGAAGAGCATTATAATGCATAATAAGAAGTTGAGTATCAGGAAACACAAGAAAACGAAATACGGGGTTGTATGGCTGGAAGTGGGCTGGATGAGCTGGATGCTAGTTTGAAGAAGTCTAAAAGCGTGGTATCAGTGTACGGCGATTTCAATGGTAAGTCGACATGACAAAGAACGGAGCATAAGAACATCACCTGTCTAAATCACAAATTCGACTCAGAGCTAAGTAAAGGGATTGGAGTGCAAGACATTTTGTGGGTTCAATAGAAGTACACTAATACAAAAATGCATTAATAATTATGTATTGCACCAACAAAGTGTTTCATATAAATTCCAAATGCCAAAGCCTTGTCACCCCAACTTCAAAATGCATAGCAAAGCAGCAATTACAGTAAGTATATAGAAACACACAGTCCATAAATTATGTAACGCTGATTTGGAGTATTTTGAATATACCCCTGTAACACAACCATAATACGTGCTTGATCCCCCTAAATAATTACGTAATGCTTGTGACAACACCCCCCCCCCCTTGTAAATGCAATAAATTATAGTAAAAACAATATGTGTTCATTTTACTCGAAATGTATATTAACATGACTTTTCCAAAGCCTTTGATACTGTAAACCATGTTCTTTTACTTCATGTGTTGGAAGAAATTGGTATCCATGGTACAATCTTGAATTGGTTCTATGGTTACTTAACTGGGAGAACGCAGAATGTGAAATATAAATCCTTCGTTTCTAGAAATATATATGTCACATCTGGAGTCCCACAAGGTTCTCACCTAGGCCCACTATTATTCATTCTATTTGTAAATGATCTTAAGAAAACACTTCCATATTCAAAATTCCTACTTTTTGCTGATGACTTGAAAATTTATAAAACTAAATTACAAGACTGTTTCGATTTACAATGTGACTTAAATACATTCTTAGATTGGTGTTCATCAAAATGTTTGAATTTGAATAATGGTAAATGTAAGTCCTTGCCTTTTACTAGATCTAGTAATCCCATTGTATTCAATTATGAACTTGGAGATGCAATGTTGGAATCAGTCTCATACTTGAGAGATTTGGGTGTTATTTTTGATCAAAAAATGAGTTTTCATCTACATATTGACGATATTTTAATAAATCAAATCAGATGTTAGGATTTGTGAGACGTATTGCATCTGATTTTACTGAATTACATCTGAATGTGCAAACCATCAAAACTTTATATTTAACTCTAATAAGACTGATATTATTACATGGCTCACAAATATGGTCTCCCTTTTACCAGAACCAGAATAGGGATTATTTTGATGTACTTTTTCTGTATAATTTGATAAATCATGATATAGACTCTTCAGAATTACATTGTAAAATTCCGTGGGCTAATCCAGTGCGTGATCTGCATTCTACAAACAGTATGTTATTTAATATCCCTTTTGCGAGATCAACCTTGTACTATTATGTGCCATTATGGAAAATGTGTAGAAGTTCCAACTGTAACCGCATTAACTTATTTTGTTCATCTTATAAATTTTAAAAAACTTATAAAAACCTGTTACTAAATGATTTTCAATAATACTGTAATGTAAATGATATTTAATAATTGGGCGATTGCCTGTAATTATATGTATATAAATAAACATGTATGATAATTATTTATGTCCGAATTAGTTGGCAATGCTACCTGCACCTAACAATAAGATTGGAGCAAGTAGTGAGTGAAAGTACTCATAAGAATGACAACTTTTTATCACAAGCCGTGCACACAGCATCATGGATTACGCATGGGCACGAATCTACTGTACCCTACAATACAACATAACAGTACCATTCCCATTTTGAATATTTTCTAATAAAAAATTTAAAAAATATTTCCATTTATTGTAATATTGTAACAATGTACATCTCATAACTAATTTATTTGTTTTTAAAACATACTGATTAGTTAATATTTTAATACAAGATTTAAAAACAGCAAAAATTCAGCAAATGTTGAAAAATGTTAAAAAATAAATATCAATGTTTCATAACAATAAACTTAATACCCCCTAACGCAATGTAATGCTACTTCAAACTAATTCACCCCCACCGCCTCTTTGGTGTGATGAAATTTATGAATGACCCTTTATGACTAAGTGGAACTCTAAACTATACACTTGGACTCATGCTACTTCCAGAAAATTCCCTCTAGCAGTTGAACTACCATTTATCACATACCTGATATTCCCTGTGAGCAATAACCAGTGATTTTGCGAATTAGCAATAACATACATCTTTTTCACGGTTTAACACATCATTTTCAATAGTATAATATACATTGATTACTCAGGCAGTTAACTTGAAGGTCATGTTGTAACCATTGCAGTGTCAGGTACATACTGTTTTGGAGCACTTATAGTTTCCACTTGTACTTATCTCATAAATGTGAATGATAAAGAAGGGCAAAGGACAAAATAATATTGGATGCCCTAGGTGAAAATACTAATGGAGAAATTTGTGATGAATCTAACAGAGAGGAAAAGACTAAAACCACATTGTTTGTGGTGCATCAGACAACGCATTGGGGAATAACTTCCGCTTTTGGCAGTGATGAACGTAGGTGGATTCAACAGTTGCAAAGACTAAAACTAAAATTAGTAGATATAAATATACCAAAACACCACCCTGAGTGAGTGACCGACTATCTCACACTTGTTGCTGCTCATAAACGCCTATCTTAAGAACACTCGAAGGTGAGTCAACTAATGGAGATTTCTTACTATTCACAAGTCCCTAAAGCACACACTGCAAATAGTCTATCAAAGATGATCTATGAAAGTTTTTTTGAAACCAAAATAAAACAATTCTGATTGTTCAAATGTTTTGTTTACATCCTATTTCTTCTCATTACAGACTATTGAAGGTAAATGCTTTCATGGGGCTAGAAGGTTAAACATTTTTACATAAATGTTGCAGTGCCATTAACAACAATCTGAAGATAGATAAAAATGAACATATCTTAACTGTGACATCTCTTAACATATTTTAACTATCAAAACATCTCATAATTAATTTTAAAGAAACCGGTTCCTGAAATAGCTTTACAGAAGTCTGACAATGAAATCATCAGAAAGAGTTAGCATTAAACACAAGACGTTTACAAGGTTAAAGTAGGGTACACGATACACTCTTAGAGAAGCGGGTAGGCATGAAGGGGGCAGGGAGAAAGAAAGGGGGGAGGGGTCTCCTTAAGCCCTACGTCAAATTACACTATGCACTCTGACAGAAATGAATGAAACTTACTGATAGGTGATTTTTACAGCAGTTTGACTGACGGTTTTATAACCCAAAGATAAGGCATTATTAATACTTGAATCATACTCAACTTGCTTCCCACAAACCATGACCTTCCGCACGTGAGGAGTGGACCCTTTCTTGTTACACTTCCACTCAAAACCCAAAACTCAAAATGCATAAAAAGCTCCATTTATTCTCACCATCATAGCACAGACACTCAACACTCAAAAACACAAATCACAAAGAATTTGAAGAACGCAAGAAACTTAACTGTATGTCACCAACATAGTTAATCACTTCGACAGCTACCAATCACAGGAAATAACATATACAAAAACACATCTATGTGATTTTCTAGGTCGGGCAGCTGTCGAAGTGGTTAGCTAACGTTTTTGTAATGAAGCTTCGGCAAAATATTAGGGCGAAATTGCCCCCTCTCCTCCACTTTTGACATCACTAATTACAAACCATAAAAATTATTTCAGAAGTAAATTTTTTGGTTAAAATTTAGTATACGGTACACCCTTAGAGAAGCGTGGCGGCGGAGGTGGGAGAAAGGAATGGGAGGGTGAAGGGAGGGGGAGGGCGAAGGGAGGGGGAGAAGGGGAGTCACCTTAAGCCGTCCCTCAAATTACGCTAAGCACTCTGATAGCAATAAATAAAACTTACCGATTGGCAATTTTTACTGCTCGTAGAGTTTGGGAGCGTCCTCAAGAAACAACAAAAACCTCTCAGTTGGCTTTTTGACCCCTTGAAGGCGTCTCCAAACATATTCTGCCAGGTAGCTGTCGAACTGGTCAGCTGTGCGAACCATGACCCCTTCCGCACTGAACCCTTTCACACATGAGGAGTGGCCCCTTTCTTGCTACACTTCCACTCGAAACCATCACACAACTCCTTTCGCTTGGCCAACCTCATTGGACACTTACACACAAGACACCTAAATCCTGTAGCAATCAAACCACGTTCTTGCGCCCATTCAATAACAGCCAAACACCCCCTTCAGTGCAATGCGTAAAAAAAGCCACATTTATTCTCACCATCATGGCACAGACAATCAACACTAAAAAACACAAACCACAAAGAATCTGAAAACCCAAGAAACTTAACTGTATGGCAGCAACGTAGCTAACCTCTTCGACAGCTACCCCGACACAGAAAAACATCACTTCAACGCTACTAGACACCACCATGTAATGAAGGTTCGACTACTACGGTGAAGTGACCTCCCCTCCTAACTTTTGACGTCACGTCCGTGACCAATTACGAAATTACAAACCATTAAAATTATTTCAGAATGGATTTTTAAATTTAATTAAACCGCCCAATGACCGATTTAAGTAATTAATTAATTATGTGTGTGTGTATATATAATTAATTATTATATATATATATATATACATATATATATATACATATATATATATATATACATATATATATATATATAT